TTTGCATAAAAAAAAGTCATCGTTTCTCAACCTGCCTTGACAGTGCTTCAGATGGATGGTCATGAACATTTTTTTTCTTGCCAAAAAGTCCGCAAGGAAGCACTGAGAGATGAATGAATTCTGACAATTACGTTGAGTGGTAGAGTGAGGATCACCTGGTACGGAGGACATGCGCAGGTTTGACAAATATCAAACTCGTGATTTTTAAAATATATATTTAGTGGGCTTGGGTAGGACCCGACCACGGCTAGGAGGGGCTACGACGGACGATCAGAAATCGTAACCGAGCGGCAGCCGTGGGGGGATTGAACGCGTCCAAGAAGAACGTCCGCTGAGGAGATGGAGCGAAGTCATCGCTAGTGTGCAGACACTATGTGGATTGCTTCATCGCACGATCATGGGAGATGGTGGTGCCTTGGAGGCCTTGAAAATCCATTTACCCCCCTCCCCACCCTTTCCTCCGTACCTCCGATGAGCTCGGTTGGCTACGTACGGTGCGATAGAAGTTCAGCATACATACAACAATGGCTGATTAATAATTTCTGACATGTATGTATGTATGTTGAACTTGCCTTCGCGCTGTACTGTAGCCAACCGTGCCAATCGGAGGTGCGGGAAATTCAATGCATCTATTGTGGATCAAGTTACGAGTCGATAAATCCATGCAACGTTTCAAACGTCCTAAATGTTTTATTATACGGGGAACTGTTTTCCAAGGAGAGCACTTTGAAGGTGAACATTGCAACGCGAGATGGAGGTGAAGAAGCGTGCATTTAATTTGGACAGGAGCGTGCTTTTCACGAAAGGTTGTCCCACGCGTAGAACGTGCTTTTGAAAAATTGCGTAGACGTTTTGTAACCCAGGCAAAACGTACAAAACATCTGGCTCCGTTGGTCACGGCGTGCCAGTCTTTGCCCGTAAATCAAGACAGGTAGGGGGGACTGTGTGTGTGTGTGTGCGTGCGCGCCGGGGTTGCTGAACTGCAGCACAAATGCACGATGCAATGCTTGTTGAGAGCTGGCGTTTTTCTTGCAGCGTTTTTTTACATAGGACGAAAGTCGGATGGGTAACTGTCAATGGAGGGGGAGTGGGAAACGCCGCATTTGTATCGAGCAAATCTGAACATTTGCTCTGGCTCGTCACCCAAGTGGTTTGTTTTATGTTGTTGTTGTTGTTGTTGCTGTAGGGCAACTCTTTTTTTTGCAAACGTGGCCGTTTTTTTTTTAACGAGGGTGAAGTCTCCCTCCCATGGCAGCAAACACGACTGTACACCGCACGCTCGCTCACATCGGATCTTCTCTTGCGAGAGTTCCAGCGCCTTCCTGCTACGGACCGACGGCCGAGGGAGCAGGTTCGTGCGCTCGTACCGAGGCTCGCACGACGCGCCCGGCTCAAGCTCGTGGAGGGATTTCGATTTAAAGCTTTCGTGACTGCAGGGATTCATCTTCTTCGTTCTTTCGGTAAAGTCACGTAGAAGGGAAGTAATACAATAATAAAAATAAAACATAATTAAATAATTCTTACGACGTTTCGGCCACAACGCAAGCAGCCGTCTGACCTGGTTTTCACCTGAGGACGGCTGCTTGCATTGTGGCCGAAACGTCGTGAGAATTGTTTTATTATGTTTTATTATTATTATTTTATTACTTCCCTTCTACGTGACTTTACCGAAAGAACCAAGAAGACCTGAAATTAGTTTAACACGTAGGCTTACGCGACCAATATCATCCATAATATAGGTTTTGGGGGGATTCAATGTTGTGGCTTGGCTCTCCAACACCCCGATGTGCTGTTCTAGTGACGAATTGGCACGTTCTGTCTGCGTGACAACCCTTACTAGTTGGCAGTGTCGGGTGGTGGCGGGTTTAACGACACATTTATATATTTACGCGATATAACCCACAAACATCTTGATAATATTGGTCGCAAACGCCTACGTGTTTTTAACTTATCGTACCAGACTTAACCAATGCACGGCACAGCCATCCCCTGACCAAGTTACATTTAAACTCGTAAGACGGCATTTGTCTGAAATGTTTTTGCCAGGTAGCCAAAGCAGAGCGGCTTGGGATATTTCTCCCCACAATTTTTGGTATTATAAAAAAAAAATGTTTTAACATTGCTTGAGTTTCCGGCTGGCTTGGCAGAAGGTTGTGAGTTCAAATCTACGTGGGAGTACAACTTGGTGGGGAAGTCAACGGTGGTTGTAATTTGGATAAACTCACCCCATCGTGAATGTGGAATATTCACCACGGGCTCTGTGCACGGTAGGTCGGCACTGATGTTTCTATTCGTTTGAGTAGCAAATCTATGTAGCTTGCCTGACTTGTGACTGTTGAAATCTTTTGGCGAGTAAAGTTTTTAGTGACTACATCGCGTGCTTTCAAGATGTGCTTCTGCTGCGGGCTTCAGGAAGGCTCGTCGTATATAAGCAACTGGAGCTATTCGCCTTTAAATTTAGATTTAACAAACTAATTTCTATCGAAATGCGTTTTGTGTTTAGTTTTTCCTGTCCTCCGCACCTTTGATTTATAACGTTTGGCTACGTACGGTGCGAAAGAAGCTCTACATACACACACACTGAATTGGAAAAACCCTGAACACGATCTTGTGTGAATTGGGACATTTTCAGCAACCCACAGTTGCTAAAATACGCTGATTGTGAAGGTATTTATTTTCTTTGGTTTCTTAAGATAATTGCAACATTAGTAGTAGTGTACAGTATTTTTCGCGTAATAATAAACAAGACTTGATTTCTATAGGTGGAAATAATTACATTGCTAAATTTGGTCAAAAAGCGTTTATTTTGCCTTTAAATTTTGGCATGTCACAAGAAGGTAGAGGTTAAGAGCTTTTATTTAATATAAACTTCATATTTGCTGATAATATCTGGACGAAGGAGATGTGTAAGCTGACCAAATATGTACAGATCTCTTCGCGACGAAAAAATTGAAATGGTGAAGCGGCGCTTTTATTTTAAAATTCACGCACGAGCTTTTTCAATTATTTTTTTTCTACATTCTTCAACCCAGATCAACCCGAGACCACAGGATCGTCTCAAGTGCAATCGTGACCTGGAGCATTTGTCTGCCAAGTAAGAAGGAAGGCAATGATTGCTACGTGTAATAATCTGGATTGAATAATTTGAGGGGTAACTCTACGAACCTAGAAAATGTGGACCCTGACACTGGCACGCAACGGCCTTCTCTTGCAACTGACGCCAGGGGATTGTTTTACTTCCACTCTAACGCAGACGGCGTGGAGTGGTTATTACTGTTATCACTCCTTTAAAAAATATATATTTTACCAGGTAAGGCCTACTGAGCTGTATAGGTGTTTTTCAGAAGCGACCTGGTCACAAATGATAGATCAACAAAGTGGCTTATCGCGTGGAAACAGTATCGCAGCCAAATCCTCTAAATGCAGCGTTGAGTCTAAATGTGAAGGGGGGGGGGGAACCAGAGGACCCGGAGAAAAATCCACGCGACCACGAGGAGAGTGGGACATGAAAACCCCAAAATATACAGGCATCGTCGAGGTCTGGCTCGAACCAACGATTACACCTACAGTGATAACCAGGCTGGCCGCTGGATTTAGAACCGCTGACTTCTGCAACGAGCAGTGACAAATGTGCTGTCCCCTGGGCCGTACCCACCACCGGAGAGAAGTGGTTGGGAGAATTTGCCGATTTCGAACCCCTCCCTCCTCCCGCTCTCCCCACCCACCCCCGAACCGCGTGGCTTCATAAGCCATTGTCATTTTCGCCATCGTCTTTTGGCAGCCGAACAAAATATGTCCGTGTCTGCTCGAGGAATGACAGCTTGGCGATGCGATGGCACACGTCTCGCGAATGTTTAGGTGACATTCCCCTGCGAGCTTTCCAAGTCAGGGCCATTATTTTAATCGCGAAGTGTAAATTGGCCACTTGTTATTGTTTTATTTGCGTGTGCAAAATGACTTGCATTGCATTTGCAACTCGCAATTAATAAGAATTGTCCTTATTTGGATTGAGGGCTTCGCTGGTAATTGTGATTTTATTAGATAAATACAGAAGCGACCCATGTTGAGTGGGAATTCTGTGGCAATTCTTTTTTACTACTCTCATGCTCGCTGACATTCCATGCGCACGTCTTGAACGTAATGAGGCTGTCGTGTTACGCACCGGGTCAACGACTCCAGTGCAGTGGCTGCCGTTGCATGATGATAATGATGAGTATGACGACGATGCAGAAAAAATTGAGCATTTAAAAATGGTCTGCATGGCAGGAAAAAGCAAGTGACGCGTTGCATCCTTCCTAGCCATGCTTTTTCATTATTTTTTTTGCGCGAGCCTTTTGTTCCGGCTCTGCTTTGGTGTGATGCATTATCTGACGTCTAACGAAAAGACGCCTACACAAACAAAAATACAAACTAAGGCCACTGGGAGTGGGGGAGGGAGGTCTGCGCAAGCACACGAGGACTGTAAGTCAACGACGACGACGTGGAACGAGTTGGCGATTGTGATAATTGTTTTTTTACCCTTTTATCTGGCAACACAACTGACACCTTTTTTTTTTACAAGGAGTCATGTTTGCATAGACCACAATACCTGCAGTCGTAATGCAAACAAAAAACACAACTCTGATAATGTATGCACTGTCCTTGAAGTTGATTGGTCCACACTCGAGACAGCTTTCTCGGGTATGGACCAATCAACTTCAAGGACAGTGCATTATGACTGCAGGTATTGTGGTCTATGCAAACATGACTCCTTGTAAAAAAAAAGGTGTCAGTTGTGTTGCCAGATAAAAGGGTAACAAAACAATAATCATATTTTTCTACTGGCAAATGAGGTTCCAATGGTGATTTGGAGATTGTCAATCATTTATTTGGTGCTGTTGCTGCGTTGCCAGCGGTGCACGAACACAATTGATAAAAAAAAACTACGCTAGTGTCCGATGACCCTGCTTTTTAGCACGTGTCGAGCGATCATCCCATGCCCGATCCCTGGGACGAGAGTCGGATCTGACCCAACAACAACAACATCAACATGCAGAACGACACCGGCGAGTTCGTGGACCTGTACGTCCCGCGAAAATGCTCGGCCAGCAACCGCATCATCGCTGCCAAAGACCACGCTTCTGTACAGATGAACATCGCGGAGGTCGACCCCAGCACCGGCTGTTTTAACGGCCAGTACAAGACCTACGCTCTCTGCAGACCCATCAGGAGGATGGGCGAGTCTGACGATTGCATCCTGCGGCTGGCGAAGGAAGACTCCATCGTCTCAAAGACCATTTGAGATGAAGACGTCGAGCTGAGAAAATGTGTCGCAAAATAAAACGAACGCTTTCTAAAAAAAGAGAACAGGGCCGAGAAACCCACTGTCAATCAAGAAGGGTGGAGCAAACACTTTACGTTCTGGTTTTGAGCACGGGAAGCAAGATGATTGGCTGGGACGTTCTAAAGGGAGAAGTCGAGTGAGTGACGGGGGGGGGGCGGTTAGGTCCAGGAGAGGGGGAAGAGGTGAGGATTAGTGGAGACTGAAGTTCGGACGAGGGGGCGAAGCCAGGAAGAGGTTAAGAGGGAGCGGGAGGCTGAGCTCGGATCGTTGCGGGAGAACGCGAGTGACGGTGTGATGGACGCGTGCCGTGAAAATATAAAGACTTGCCCAGAGGCATCGCCTGAAAAATCGAGTATTACATAAAAAAAAAATTAAGGCCATAGTTGACCTGTGAGGTTGATTTTATTCTCACCGGTACCATTTTGTGGAATTGCGTCCAAGGGAAAAAATGGCTCGTAAAATTATTAATGGCAATTAGATGTAATTGTTGGGCTGGAATGAGAACGAGCAATTGCTACATCATTTCGGAGAGATGATGCAAAGCAAATCAAAATAATAGTTGAAAATGTAATTTTACCACAACCAATTATAATCGTGACACCTTCGTGTAATCGCACGGGAAAGTTGAATTGTAACACGCCTCCTTAAAATACCGACAGTGATGAAAGGGATGGAATAATGTTGCTTGGTTCTTTAAGTTCAGTTTGTAAACTGTGATGCTGCCATTGTGCATTGGTGAGCATTCTAGACGTACAATCCAGGAGTGCGTTCAATGGGCAGAGCGCGCGAGCGCTTTCCGATTGAACGGCCAGTTCACAACGCAGAGGGCAATGTCACAAGAGCGGTCTGAAGCTGCCTGCTAAACGTAAGGTGGCAATAATTCTAGATTTGAAGCTTTCGTGACTGCAAGGATTCATATTCTTACTTGATACAGCTGTCGTGGCTGTGACGGTTCCACCTGAAGACGGAAGCTTGTGTTGCCTCCGAAACGTCGTGATTTTTTATTTTATTTTACTTTTATTAATTTTAATGTTTTACCTACGTGACTTTACCGAAAAAACCTAAGAATATAAGGTGGCAATGTCACCACCCGGCCAATCGGAGGGCACCGTAACCTTGATGCACACACTCGTGTGTGCCTCGTAGCGCAACGCGACCGCTCTGGTCATCGAAGACCGGTTTGATTTCATCTCCGGGTGTGGCAGTTGAAATGATGAATACATTTTCTTAAATTTCCACCACCACCACCTCTGGCCCTCCCGGCAGTGTAAATGAGTTCAACACGATAATTGTTTTTTACCCTTTTATCTGGCAACAAAACTGACACCTTTTTTACGAGGAGTCATGTTTGCATATACCACAATACCTGCAGTCATAATGCAAACAAAAAACATAACTCTGATAATGTATGCACTGTCTTTGAAGTTCATTGGTCCACACCCGAGACAGCTTTCCTTAGAGCCTAGTCTCACATGGGTTGGACCAGATGACGCCAAAAGGCGCACAACTCAAAGACAATGCACCATCAGAGTATGAGAGCTCGGGGTAAGCATTTACACCATTGGTACCTCATTTGCCAGTAAAAATATGCAAACATGATTCCTCGTAAAAAAGGTGTCAGTTTTGTTGCCAGATAAGAGGGTAAAAAAAAAACAATTATCATATTTTTACGGGCAAATGAGGTACCAATGGTGAGTTCAACACGGTTAGTTGATGCACAGGTCGCATTCGGTGGGGATAAAGTGTGTGGGGCACCTCCCATCTCTCCTTGCAAGACGCATCTGGATCGGCGTGAAAATGTAGCCGCAAATATCCCCACGAGGGGAAGATCTGTGTTTTTTAGGGGGTACCCTCTCGTGAAGGGCCCCTTCCACCGCCGTGGAATTGTTAGCAAGACGTTTTCAGGGCTACACCTTGACCTTTACTTGTTAACCGGACGCATCGAAAGCAACGCCGGCTACCTGTTAACCAGCGTTAGCACGGTAAGGGATTGAGAGAGAGTTGAAGCTCGATACCACTGGCTGGCCACGTGGGGTTCCCACTACCGTGCCCCCCTCCACCCCCACAACGACGCAGCAGTTACCACTCAGTGGCGGCGTCCGTCTAGGGCAGCCCTTGGCATGCGCGCGTCGCTCGGCCGTCACTTGCGAGCCCACGCCGATGACGGTTCGATCAATGGGAAAGTGGCTTTTTTGAGAAGCGAGAGGACGGGGGCAGGGGGGGGGGGCACGACTTATCGGCCGTGTCGGGCCGCACACGAGAGAAGTGTGCGAGCGAAAAACTCCCCAGCGCGCGCATTCACGAACCGTGCAGTTTTGGAGTTGTTGTTGTTGTTGTCATCCCCTGTGTCCATAATACAGGGTTTTTTGAGAGGGGGTTAGATCGCGTAAATATTGATATTGGTCGCCAAAGCCTACGTTTTAAACCGTCCCCTGTGTGGCGTGTGCGGCTCCGTCCAGACTGATGCGACGAGAGTTGGTGGAGCACCGGCTTTTGGCAAGAGAAGAGCAATTTTCCGAGGCGGTAGACGGGAATGATTTAATGTTGCACGATTGACTTGTTCAAAAGTAGAAACTTCGCAATGGCGCGGGCGCCCGAGAGCACGCGAAATTATCGAGTGGCGTTTAACGCAACCCGATTGGGTATCAGAGAGTGGACAGCGGATGGAATAAGTGGAGTTAGAGACATCGAGGTGGGAAATGGGTGAAACATTTCTTCCAAGTGCCGTTCAAATTACAGTTACCCAGCCTGATGAAGAATGGTTTCCTAATTGGCTTTCCTCAAGACCAGCTACAGTAATTGCCTTTCTGCATTTACCAATTTCCTGGTGGGCTCCGTTCGAACGCGAATTCAGATTTTTACCCGCTCCACGTGCCCGATTTGCTCGACACGTCCCATGCGATGTGAGGTTCGATGATTTTGAATTACTGCTCACCCTAGAGCATGAGGAATGCAATTCAGATGATCAATCTTTGCTCCTCCTGGTCCTGATTCATTTGCACACCACACCACGCACTCGTTTAGGTGTGAGTGATGCTAGGCGAGGCCCAGGATCCGTGGAAACATCATTTCTCCACTGGCGTTTGGCTGGCGTCAGGCATCAAACCCAGGTTGCAGAGTTCGTACCGAAGTTCGCCAATCACACGTACACACGAGATTTACATCTTGACCCGGGCAGGGCACCGTTGCAAATGAGACTCTCACCCCGTCCATTGACTCGACTTAATCGTATTGTGAGTCGGTACTCTTTTTAAGCAAAACGGAATGTGTGTGTTTGGCAATCGTCCGGTGCGTGCAGCATGTGACAACGTAATATTGAATTGAGAACGCTGGTGGCGAACACAGGAGAGAAGAGATTCCGTCGGTGGGGCCTCGTGTAAAGCCCTCCCGAGGTGACGATACGAGCAACTTGGCGGGGATGTAACTCAAGTTGTTCTCACGCAAGTGGGGCCACTGCCGCTCCAAGCGTTTGGGCCTTGCGGCCAATATGCCAGGCAGAAATCAGTGCCGGATAATTTTAGCAGCAAAAGTAGAATAAGCTACGGGCCCAGCACTTTCAGGGGCCCCGCACTAAATGCTTTCAAGCCATTAATTCCGGTTCAGTGATTCTGCACTTGCTCTATTACTGTAGTACTATACTGCCTTCAACTTTTATGAACGACTGGGTGTTTAAGGTGAGCGATTTGTCGTATTATCTGGCTGTATAGCAATTGAAAACTACAATTGCTCTATGTAAGTTTTAAAATATATATATTTTGTGTTTTTAGGGCCCCTTTATAACATGCTACAAGGCCCCACACTAGCTTAATCGTGCACTGGCAGACATGCTGGCACCATCGAGTCAAGTGATGTCACCAGTGGTCCCAGAAGCCACGTTATTAGCACGGTTGGCTACGTACGGTGCGAAAGAGGCTCAACATTCACGACGTACATTAACGCTGCCGTGCGTAGTAGGTATTGACATGCTTCCCCCGAGTGTCATGTTAAAAGGTAAGGGGGGGCAGCCCTGTGGTTACTCGCTCTTGAAACGCTGGCAGAAGGGCCCCTCCACCAGAGGGAATTCTCTAAAGAGGTGATTGGTCTACTCTTCCACACCTGGGCAGACGCTTTGAGATGAGGTGGTGTGGAGCACTCCGCATAGCGGCGATTTGCCGATCGACTGAATGCGGTGAACGCATTTTGCACTGCCGGGAGGACGGAGGCCAGGGGGTGATTCAAGACGCGTCGCAGCCTTGTTTCGGCTGGCGCGCTTGGAGAGTGAACGGGCGTCCTCTGGATTGGAGGTCCAATGTGTTAACCATTTCCACATGTAATTATGTAAACCCAAGTCACGTCTGCAGTGTTTTTCACCACCATGTCGTGTGTGTGTGTGTTAGAGGGGAGCGGTGGTGTAGCAGTTTTGCACGCTGCGCTACGAACCTTGCGACCCGGTTTCTATTCGAGCTCACGGCCAACACCAGTCGTGACGATTATCAGAACCGATCCTGGGCCTCGCCTCGGTCGACTCTGGCTCATGAGTACCTGGTGCGATGTGTAAACATCGCCACGAGGGAGACAAAGGCGGCCTGGCGTGGTGTTGGCCACCCACCCCCTCATGTGCCGTGCCGGCCTTTATAGGTGCACGCTAACAGCACTTTCCCCTTCAGTCTGTTACAGGCTATACGCGGGGGGGGGGGGGGGTTCTTTGGACGTTTGATAAATTTGAGGATCAATTTTCGCACGCTTTTTTCCCCCTACCCTGGGGTCCCGTGATTATTGAGCCAGTTGCTCATCACAGTCACGATAGTGTGGGGGGGGGGGGGTAAATATTCTGACTTTCTGTTGATGTTGTGCGGTGCCTTTCTTTCATGAGACGACACACAACGTGACAACACAACAGCAAGGCGGCCAAATGCCAATACACGGCAAGTGTATCGACTCCATTTGTGTGGAGCTTTTGAGTGTTGTTATCCCCCTACTCGTGTCAGTGAGTTTTTTCTCTCTGGGTACTCTTTGGTTCCACACGAAGC